ACCTAACAAAAGAAGAAGAGTCAAACATTGGATAGAAAAACAAAAGTGTAACATAATTTGTTTGCAAGAAACTCATATTAAGCATCGGGACTCTAAATTTTTAATTAACAAATCACTTGGAGAAGAATTTTATTCCCTATCCTTGAAAAAGAAAAGAGTTGTAATTTATGTGAAGAAAGAGTTTCAACCGAAAGAAATTTTTAAGGATTCAGAAGGAAGATTTATAGGGGTGGAGGCTGTATTGCATCAAAAGAAAACTTTAATTGTGAATGTATATGCACCCAATGGAGCGAAAGAAATTTTTTTCAAAGACTTGATGGAGCATCTAGATCAATGGAGTTACGAACAAACAATATTGGCCAGAGACTTTAACGGCACGGTGAACAACAAATTGGACAGACAGTCTAGCAGAGGAGATGAAAAAAGTGGGAAACTGCCAAAAAGTTTTTTAAGTTGATAGAACAAGAAAAACTGGAGGATGTATGGAGAAAGTAGAACCCGACTGTTAAGGATTTTACCTTCTACTCTAACATACATAGTTCTTTTTCCAGGATTGATATGATTTGGATGACAGAAGAGATAGTTCTGAAGACACATAAAATTGAATTATTGCCAAGAAGTTATTCGGATCATAACCCGATGATATGGAAATCGATAGAAAAGGACAAACAATTTTTATGGAGAATTAATGAAGACTTGTTGGATAAGAAAGAAACATTGGACCTATTAAGGAAAGAGACTCAATTATTCTTTCAACAGAATTTGGATCAAGGAACGTCCATACAAGTAGTATGGGATGCATATAAAGCAGTAATGAGAGGAGTACTTATATCACAAAATGTAAAACTGAAAAAATAAAATTTTAAAAAACAAGCTGAAATGCAGAAAATGTTCAAATGTAGTTTTAAAAAAGAACCAGAGATTTTATTGCTAGGATTGAAAATAGAAGAGTTAAATATACAAAAAAAGACTATGTTTTGGTACCTGATAACAACGGCAAGAATGGTGTATGCACAATGCTGGAAACGAGAAAACGCCAGAAATCTCAGACTGGATACAAAAAGTGTTATTTATGGCAGAAATGGACAAAATAACAAGAAAGTTGAATAACAAAGAAGATCAAGAATTTTTTGAAGACTGGAAGGATTTAAAGGACTACCTAGAGGAAAACTGGGATGTTAAACGTAGCTTATTGTATTTAGAACAATATTGACAGAAATGTTATCTAGTAATGGAATTTAGAATGTTGAAATAAGTATAAGAAATGTAAAGAGAAGTAGGGTAGAGCACTGCGGGAAGCCATTAGAGAGGGAGGGAGGGAGGGAAGGGAAATGTGGGTATTTGTGAAGGGAAAATAAATGTTAAATGTGATATTATATCCAAAAATAAAAGTTTTGTGACCAAAAAAAAAAGACCCAGCTACAGGTTGGATACAAAGCTTATTTGTTTAATCGTAGAATTATAGGTCATCCAGTCCAGCCCCTTGCACTCTGCAGGAGCATAGCTGAAAGATAACCCTAACAAACAAACAAGAAGAGTACGTTTTTATACCCTGCTTTTCTCTACCTTAAGGAGTCTCAGTGCAGTTCACAGTCGCCTTCCCTTCCTATCCCTACAACAGTTGCCTTGTGAGGTAGGTGGGGCTGGGAGAGTTCAGAGGGAACTGTGACTGGCCCAAAGTCACCCCAGAAGGCTTCACGTGGAGGAGTGGGGAGTCCAACCCAGCTCTTCGGATTAGAATTCACTGCTCGTAACCACGGTACCATGCTGGCTCTTGCAATCAGAGAGCATAAGAAACCCAGCAAACAATGCAAAAGGACTGGGATTATGAAAGATAGAAAAAACAATGCAAAAAGAAAAGGGTATTAGACATATCGTAAACATTGCAAAAATTGGAATTACAAAAGTAGAAGACAGTGCTGTAAGAACAGGATGACGTTGTCTATGAGCTAATGTGTTGCTATTGCCTTTGCCAAAGACAGCAGCTCTGGTGTGAGTAATGGCCCCACATTTTCCGCAGTAAAAACTCTGCCATTTCACGCCTTGGGCATGGAGAGGCTCTACTGCGTCCCTTGCCAGTTTCCCACCTCATACTTTCCCCCTTAATATGGCTAGCAGCCGGCACGTCCCCTTGGTCACCTTACAGTCCTCTCCATCCCTGTGACTTTGGCGCTCTCTCTCCCCCCAGGTAAACAGCGTCTGTTTGGAAGAAGTCACACATGAAGAAGCAGTCACTGCCTTAAAGAACACCTCGGACTGCGTTTATCTGAAAGTGGCAAAACCCACCAGCCTGTTCATAAACGATACTTACACTCCTCCAGACGTCACCAATGGTAAGTTTTATTTGTTTTGAAGGCCTGGCGGGATCTGGTCCATGGGGTCGCGAAGAGTCGGACTCGACTGTGTGACTGAACAACAACAACTGTGTGTGTGTGTGTGTAAAAACACCTCTAGTCAAGGAAAGGACAAAATGTTTTTACTTCCACTGTTCACAGCACAACTTGGTGTATGAGAATTACCTTGATACGTTTACACACACAAACAGAATCCACCCTTTGGAGGTGGGCAGCTGTGCCTGGTCTGCAGCGGAAGCCCAAGGCTGGAGTCCAGAGGCACCTTCAAGGACAGACAAGATTCCCAGGGGTCAAAGAGAAGGAGGAGTCTTGCTGGCCTTTGAAGGTGCTGCTGGGCTTGGGGGTTTTAAAAATCAACCAGGCTCTCCTGTTTAAAGTGGGATCCTTGGTAGGGGAACAGGGAGGAGCAGGGAGCGGTGTATAGTCCAGAGCCTCAAGAAGGTCTTGCTGCAGGACTGGGACTGGTTTTTTAACAGCAGCAAAGCAACATGCAGCAGAGGCCCATCAGTTTTGAAGTGCATAGGTGTGGCGCCACAAACCGCCAGCGAAGGCCGTGGCAGACCCAGGACGTCCCCACGTGGCCCCTTCCTCAGTTCCGGTGGTCCTGCCACTCCAGGCATAATTCTGCAGCGCCTCAGTCGGGGCAGTCCTGGCAGGATGGCGGAGGGTGGAGCGGCAGCAGTGCAGCTAATCCAGCTGCTGGGACAGATGGACACATCAGGCTGCCTTAGGTGGAATCAGACAGTTGGCCCATGAAGCTCAAGCGTTGTCTGCTCAGACTGGGGGAGGCTCTCAGTGATTTCCGCTTTCCACAAAGTTTCTGGCGAGAGAAACGCTTTCACAATTCCGAGTTATGATTTAACGTTGCTGAGGAAGAAAGAGGGATTGCATATGGAGTATTAAACCAAAGATGAGTATTCCTAGTAAAGTATTCTGGTTTACTCTTTCATGGGCCAAAGCCCAGGATCTTCCATCAGATAAATATGGCAACGTGGACTCTGCTCTAGCGAAGTTTGTGCCAGAATATAGTCATCGGCTTGTGAACACACAACCAAGGAGAGCCAGCTTGGTGTCGTGGTTAAGGGCGCGGACTCTAATCTTGGAGAACCGGGTTTGATTCCCCACTCCTCCTCCACTTGCACCTGGCTGGTGTGACCTTGGGCAAGCCCTAGTTCTCATAAGAGCTGTCCTTGGAAAAGAGCCGTTTCTGTCAGGGCTCTCTCAGCCCCACCTACCTCACAGGGTGTCTGTCTGTTGTGGGGAGGGGAAGGGAAAGGAGTCTGTAAGCCGCTCTGAGACTCCTTTGGGTAGTGAAGGGCCATGGGGTATAAATCCCTCCTCTTCCTCCTCCTCCCCCCCCCCCCCCCAGACCAATGGAATCCGTTGGTGCCAGGTGAGGATGTCCCCCTTTGACCCCAGCAGGCCACACACACACCCCAGTTGAGCCCAGTGGCCCCTGTGGGAGCAAGGGAGAGTCGGGTCCGCTCAGAGGCCGCCTTTGTGTGGGTGGGGGTGGGGGGGGGGTGAGGGCGCAGGACCCCTGTGTCTCCCCCCCCCCCCCGTGAAGCAGGCTTCAGAGTCTTCCCCTCAGTAGTGCCCCCCCCCCCCACACACACACCGCCTGTTCCCTGACCCCTCTCTGGTCCGGCAGGCGGGAGGAGCTGCCCAACTGAGCAGTGCGCGGGGAGGAACCCGGGCCAGGCCTCCTTGCGACTGACACGCCGTGATCGCTACAGGCACCGCTCTAGAGGGAGTACCTTCTACGGGACGAGGGTGCACAGGCCACGGAAACACGGGAAACCTACTTGAGACATCACCATCATCACCACCATCACCATCCTCTCGCCCTATCCCCGCTTACGCCGGGCTCTGGGCGCTGTACATGGGGGTGTCGTGCCATAAAAACATATAAAACATAAACATTCTACTGACAACTTCATAACACTAAAGACCTGAATTAAAAACCCATGAGGATGGCGTCTGTGACGGGATGGCTGCCAGGCCTTGAAATGGACGCCAGCCTGGTAGTTCCTGACATGTGTGTGTGTGGGAGGGGGGTGTACTCCATAGGGAGCCATGGGGCGGCCACACCTCCCTGCCTACACTTCCCAGCATCCCTGAGGGGAAAGAGCGGGAAAAGAGGGACACACCCCAGGGGCGGGGCCAAGGAGAAAGTGGCTTTTTGGCTCCCGAGGGGGAAACAGAGTCAGTCTCAGCCCCAGTCTTCAGCGTGGACCTGGGCCAGTTCCAGGGGGAGCGCGGGTGGGGCTCCTGCAAGCCAGGGACTCCTCCGAGGGCCGTCCAGGCTACCATGGGCCGTGGTGGGGAGCCAGGAGGGGGGCAGGGCTGGTGGCCAAGTCCCGAGGAGGAGGAGGGCGGGGGTTTCCCTCCACAACAACAAGGGGGGGGGGGACACAAATCCGGGCCTGAGGGGCCACCACCCACTGAAGGGGTAGAGAGAGAGGGGTGGGTGTGGGCAGGGACAGGGACAGGGGACCTGCGTTTCCATCCTGTTTATTGTCTGTGCCCTGGTTGTGTTGAAGTGCCGGTGTTTATTTTCCGTGCCCAAAATGTATATTGTTCAATAAATCTTCCTTTTTTGAGTTTAAAAAGCCTGGTGTGCCTTAACCACAGGGTCCTCCCCGCTCTGCACGTTACCAGGGGCAAAGGGAGGCCGGGGAACACAAACGGGCCTAGATCTGAGGGGTTGCCAAGTCTCCAGGGGGTGCCCAAAGATCGAGGTACCCACTTCCCAAGGTGGGGGATTTAGCCAGAGGGGTCTCACTTTCCCTCAAGGAAGGCAGTAACTCAGTTCAGTGAGGGGTGGCAGCGTTTAGCGAAGAGAGAAATAGTCCCACCAGGCAGGGTGGGAAGGCCAAAACAGGGGCCTGCGAGCCACAGGACGGCACCTCAGTCTCCCAGGGATGAGGGCGGGTCCCCGTTCCGCCACACAGTCCAACACACTGTGTCACACAGTGGCCAAAAATACCAGGTGCCCTCAGGAGGCATCTCCTCCAAAATACAGTAAAAGCTTTTATTACTTGTCAGCTCAGTTAACCACAAATACCTAGGGGAACAGCAATACAAAACTGTACTATAAACCAAAAGATTGCTGCAAGTGTGCACATACAAATAAATGAATTTACACAAAAGTAAGTCAATCTTCACTGAAGATGATATTCATGATGTGTCTTTTATATTCAACAGATGAACAGGTGGACAGAAGACAGACGAACTTCTCGAGTAAATGCCCGTTTCGAAGTGTCTTTCTCAATCTGTCAACATACAATTACAATAACATCTATAAAACCCTCCAAAGAGTGGGATACTGTATAAAACTACAATGTTTGGATAATACATACAATTTCGTCTGTCTTCTGTCCACCTGTTCATCTGTTGAATATAAAAGACACATCATGAATATCATCTTCAGTGAAGATTGACTTACTTTTGTGTAAATTCATTTATTTGTATGTGCACACTTGCAGCAATCTTTTGGTTTATAGTACAGCTCAGTTAACCAACCTGCCAGCTGAATCAGTCAGCTGCATACCCAGGAAAAGCTTGGTTAGCCAGGAACCCTCATTCACCAGAGATGCCCATTAACAAAGCTACACACACACACACACACACACACACTGTTAACATCGGGAGCAGTACTACCACTGCCGCTACCACTATTATCATTTGTATTTTAAAAGCACAAGACAGTCTGATCGGAGTCAGGGGTCTCACGAGCAAGCTGTGCTTCTGGTGAAGGAACGCGCCCCTTCCCCCGTGTGTCCCAGGGGGCGGTCTGTGGGGGAGGGAACTGGGGAGGGTGTGTGGGTCGTCTGCCTCAGGCCGGCTGCCCTGGTCTGTCCTAACTCCGGCACTTGAAGTGAAGGGGTGACGGGGGAAGAAAGGTGGATGTCTGCCGGGGCACAGTTTCCTCCCTGCACCTCTGTGACACTTGCCTTTCCTCGTCTCTCCCCTCCGCAGCGTCTCCTCCTCCACCTATCGACAACCATATCAGCCCGTCAGCCTACCTCGGACCGTCCCTCTCACCTGCGTCACCAGGAAGATACTCTCCTGTTCCCAAGGGGATGCTTGGAGATGACGAGATAACCAGGTAGGGGAGACGCTGTGCCCACATTGCATCTGTGACAACAATGCGCTAAATTAGCTGTGATTTCTGTCCCCTGCCAAGGAGCTCAGTGTGGCACGTGCTGTTCCTTCTCCAGCCGTGTCTTTTCATAATGAGCATGTGAGGAGTAGGCTGAGGGGTCGGGGTCCGAGGTCACCTCATGAGGTCAGGGCAGAGCAGGCTTGTGAACACAGGCCTGACATACCTGCACACAGGGACACATGGTATGCTGCTTTATCCTGAGCCGCAGCTCTTCCCCGGAGCTGTTCTGAGCTCTTCCCCTTCTTGTGCCACGCAGGCTCTTGCTGTAAGCCATGGCAGGTGCCTTCCAGTTTCTCTCAGCAAGACTGAACCCCTTTTTTCAGCCTCCTTCCTCCAGCTTAATTCTGGGTGGGTCACCATAATTGTCTGTCGCAGCAAAACAGGAATCCGGTGGCAGCTTAACAATCGATTCCTGCGTCAGATTTTGTAAATGAGCTCACTGTGTCAGAGGCACTGGCCCCACTGTGCTGGGTTCCGTAGAAGAGCTTCCCCCTGGCCTGGCGGACAGTGCTCTCCCTCTGGGAGGCTCTGCGGGGCAGTCGACCTGCTTTTCTCCACTGAGCTGGCCTCAGACTGGGAAAGCTTGGCCAGTGAGCCTGCAGGGGCAGCTGGGGAACAGGGCTGCTGGCGTGCCCCTGGCATCCTTCAGTGTCACAGGTTGTTTGCAAGCAAAGCCTGGTTTGCAGAAGTGGTGGCCAATGGCCGGGACCCTTTCTGTCTTTCAGGGAACCACGGAAGGTGGTGCTCCATCGAGGATCCACAGGTCTTGGTTTCAACATCGTGGGCGGGGAAGACGGAGAAGGGATTTTTGTCTCTTTCATCCTCGCAGGGGGACCTGCAGATCTGAGTGGCGAGCTCAGAAAAGGCGACCGCATAATCTCGGTACGGTGATGGAAATGGGACAAATAAGCACTTTTGGTGTGTTTTTGGTCCCTTCAGTCACACTGGCAGAATGTGGCCGGCTGGCTAGTGCGTGTGTGTGTGTTCATTCTTTTGTGTAAATGTAGATACTGTCGACAAGGGAGGGTTATGTGGGCCAGAAGCAGGGACCTGAAGTTAGAGAGTGGCGGTTTTTGCGTCTGGTTGGAAAGTGTGCTGCCTGGATATGGACCTCAGTCCTGTATCTGAACCAGAGCTGCGGAGGCTGTGGGCCTGATAATGTGTTTGGCTTCTTGTGGTTACTTAGGCTTGGAATGCCAGTGGATTTAGAAGTCCAGAGCTTGTAAAAAAAAGGGGGGGGGGGTCTCTTCTTTCAGGTCTGTACCTGGTATTTGCACCTCTATAACTGTTCAAGCAAGGCAGCCATAATGCCGTGGGTTGGGCGGGGTGGGGTGGGGTGGCGTGTCTCTTGAGCCTCTTATAGAAACTTCAGCCCGTGCAAAATACAGCAGCACAGTCTTGATGGCCGTGGACCTCTGTGCCTTTGGCTTCCTCGGCCATCCTGCCCACCCACCGTTCAGGGTGCTGGTTTTGATCTGCACAGTCCTGAATAGCTTGGAGCATCTGCCGCTTCGGCTCCCTACCGCCCCCTCCGTCTTAGAACAGGGAGGGGCCCGGAGAAGCCACCGGAGTGGCCGCCCCCCCAGCTTCTGGAATCGGAGCCCGCGCCCTTCTTGCAATCCTGGTGGGAGACCTTCTTGATTGAAGGGGTGCTTACTGGCCAGGGGTGGGCATGAACTAAGTAGCGTATCTCGGATTGCCTGCCCGTGTTGATTTTTTGCCTGCCACCCCTGGAGACAAACTGTTTGCGAAGGGATGCTTCCCCCCCATATCAGACTGCTTGTGACTTCTGGGCATGGACTGGCTGGTGATGCCGCCTTGTTTTTGTGCGTGGGGGACAGGTGGCTGGCTGGAGCTGCCCAGGAGGGACTTGGTCTCCCTCCAGCTGAGGAGACTCCAGCTTTATAGCTCTGTGGAATCCACCTTCCCCTGTCCTCCTGCGTTTGCTTCTGCAGGTGAATGGCGTCGACCTCAAAGCGGCAACCCATGAAGAGGCAGCGGCCGCCTTGAAGAATGCCGGGCAGGCTGTCACCATCGTGGCCCAGTACCGCCCAGAAGGTAGGTGGCTCTGTGGTGCTTCAGTGGGCCCCAGAGTATCTTCTCTGGGATCCGATTCTTGTGCAGGGAGGTGTGAACAAGCTTCAGAAGAGCTAAGGCTGGGCTGATTCTTGCACCAAAAAGAGTGTGCGGATAAGGGGGGAGGAGCCATCCTCCGCTTTCCCTCCCCACGTGCGGGGGCTTCCCCTTTTCTACCCCATCTAGTTCACTGCTAGTGGGGGGGTGGGTGGATCTAGCCATTCTCTGAGTAGCCCTTAAGTGGAGGAGATCTCTCTTCGACTGGAGGAAGAGGTGAGCCTTGAGGCAAAAGGGAAAGGTGGAGAGTAAATATCTTAATAAACCAATGAATAAAGGTTACTCAGTGCAGTAGCGGGATAGGCGGGTGAGGCTGAGAGGAAGTGGCCCCGGGAGCTTCTCCCCCCCCCCCTTTGTCCACACACGTCTGTTCACCCCCTCAAAGGACACTTAACAGGTTGGTGAGACAAGGTCTTCCCTTACAGAACCCATGCTGTGTCTGCCTCAATAGGTTTTTTTGGTCACTGTGCCTACTAATTCTCTCCTTAATAATGGTTTCCACCAATTTACCCGGTATCGACGTCAGACTGACTGGCCTGTAATTTCCTGGATCTCCTCTGGAACCCTTTTTAAAGATGGGAGTGACATTAGCTACCTTCCAGTCCTCAGGAATGGAGGCTGATTTTGAGGAAAGATCACATATTTTTGTCAGGAGATCCACAAGTTCACATCTGAGTTCTTTCAGAACTCTTGGCTGTATGCCATCCGGGCCTGGTGATTGATCAGTTTTTGAGTATCCGTCTTAGGGCCTCCTCTCTCATCACCTCAGTCTGACTCGGGTCTTTCTACCGGAAGCCTGGTCTCGGTGACCACCGCAGTCCTGTCCAGCCCTGCTTTCCAAAGAGGAGTGAAGGGGAGGGGGGGTAGCACGTGAACGCCCTGTCCTTAAGGGGCACAAGGGCAGTAGACCATCCCCACACCAGCTGGCGTGAGCAAAGCAAGAGGTGTAGCCACTAGGCAACACCTTTCAACAGAGTGCTAGAGGTACAGATCTGTCAAGGGGAATAGACTTGGCAGCGGTTGCTGCCCAAAGAGGGTTTGGTACCTTCCAGGAATAAGTGAAAGTGGTGGCATCAGTGGGTGTAAACCTGGGAAGGTCATGAGGCTTTTAAGAGCTCTTGAACCAAAGAGGGAACAGGAGCACTTGCAAGCACATTCCTCCACGTGTGACTTTGGGCATTTCATTTGGAAATGTAATATGTAGATATCAAGACAGATAGATTTGTAAAGTATCAGAGTCATTCCAGAGAGAGAGAGAGAGAGGCTTCAGTGTTGCCACACAATCTAAGCTATCAGCAGCAGACAGCAGGAGTTACAACAACTGGCAGGTAGTTTTTAAGTTCCTGAATTGCTCTGAACTGTTACTCTCTCCTCCTCTGCCCTCCCACCCGTATTTTTTTGCAGAATACAGCCGTTTTGAGGCTAAAATACATGACTTGCGAGAGCAAATGATGAACAGCAGCATCAGTTCAGGATCTGGGTCCCTGCGAACCAGTCAGAAGAGGTCCCTCTATGTCAGGTGAGCCCGTTTCCTACTTTAATCAGGTGAGTCAGGTAACAGCCTGTTGTTAGATTGGATGGTGTTCAGGAGGACAGATGTTCTTTGTAAGACCTTGATCACCTTTGCCATCCTGCTTGCAGGACTCGGAATAAGAGATGCTTTTTGATATAACGTGGCTTTGTCTGGCTTCAGTAAGATTCTCTTGTTGTGATTGGTTGCACCTCAGGAGAAGGAACAGCCCCTGCCATTAGGATTTGGCGCGTAGACCGAGAGACTGCTCATGGAAGTGGGGGAGGTGGTGGTCTCTCAGGGACTGAGCTGACTTCTGGAATTTCTGTGTGGTTGTTGTAACTGACTGTTCCAGAGATAGCTCTGAAGTTGGCCACAGAAACAGACACATTTAAAAGGGGAGCAGATAGATTTATGGAGGACAAGTCTATCAGTGGCTACTGGCCAGGGAGACTGAGGGGAACTTCCAGATCCAGAAACACTAAACTGCTGAATGCCAGAGTCAGGGGGCAATGTCAGGGGAAGGCCTCGGCCTCTCTGCCCTGTGGTTGGCCGTCGAGAGGAGCTGGTTGAGGCCCCTGTGTGAGACAGGAGGCTGGACGGGATGGACCCTCCCTGGCCTGACCCAGCCGGGGCTCTTCTGATGTTCTTCTGTGGTCTGGGGCCTTGAGGGAGTTTAGTGTCATTGAGTCTCGCCTGAAGACGCCGTGGAGGAGCCCCGGGTCAGTCCTCCCTAATTTTCACCAGGCTGCCACGGAAGCAGTGGCGGTTGTGACCAGGTGTCTGGAGGCAGCCGTTGGCAGACTGAGGATTTCGTTGAACTGAAGGGCAGGCCAGCCGAGATGGAGCTGATGTTGGTGGAGAGCTTTTTGCCCAGAGTGATGGCTTCTTGCAACCCTTCCCACCACTCAGGAGAGTGGCACCAACGATGTGGGGAAATGCAGTCATGTGGTCCTGGAGGAAAAATTTAGGCTGCTAGGCAGGAGACTCAAGGCCAGGACCTCCCAAGATCACCTGTTCCACATGCACGGCCAGCTGTTGTTGTTGTTCAGTCGCACAGTCGAGTCCGACTCTTCGCGACCCCATGGACCAGATCACGCCAGGCCCTCCGGTCTTCCGCCATCCTCTGAAGTTTGCTCAACTTCATGTCCGTTGCATCGATGACCCTGTCTAACCATCTCATCCTTTGCCGTCCCCGTCTTCTTTGACCTTCAATCTTTCCCAGCATCAGGGTCTTCTGATAGATAGCTAGACAGGCAAAAATTAATAGTCCCCATGCTTGGATGAGATGATGGTGTGGGGGGAAGGGTGTAAGTTTGTTAGGCACTGGGGTGCTTTTTGGAACGAGCAGGACCTGTACAAAAGAGATGGCCTCCACCTGTCTCAAGAAGGAACCAGGCTTCTGGCACTTAAAATAAAAAAGGGGGCAGAGCAGTTTTTAAACTAAATCCTGGGGGAAGGCCGACAGGAGATGAAACGTCTGTGTTTTGGGGTGGCTCATCTCCTAAGGGATGGAGGGGTAGCTGAATCTCCAGACGGGATGAAAATGCTCCTCCTCAGAAACATGACTGCTTTGGCAATGAGTGTGGTACCTTCACTGAATGGGGTTGCGCTCCCCTTGAAAGATGCAGGTCCACTGCTTGGGCCTGTTTCTTGGATCCATCACTGCTCCCGCACAGCCAGCAGTTCCGTTAACTGGCTACAGTTGATTGGCCACTGGCTCCCATTCCTGTCAAGGAGGGGTCTGGCCACAGTTCATTGTCCCTCGGTGCTATCCAGGCTGCACTGTGTGTCAGAACGTACTCTGCGTGAAGTGGCCCCTTGAGCTCTGCCTGGAGACAGCTGGTACAGGGCATGGCTGCCAAATGGCTGGCAAGGGCAAACCGACAGAAGCTTCTTTCTCACTCCTGTTTTGTTCCCTCTGCACTGGCTGCCAGTTTTGGGGACCAGTCGAAAGTGTCTGTTGTTGACTCCAAAGCCAGGCCGCAGCAGTCTGAGGCCATGGTGCCTCGAAGACCGTCTCCTTCAGACACACCTGCCCAGGCCGCGGAGGAATCGTGAGAGGTCTGTGTGGCCTCACCATCTGACGAATGGCGGGAGGCTGTGAGGGAGACGACTGTCTTCTCGGTAGGGACACCCTCCTTGGATTAATAAATAAGGACAGTGCTTGAAGTTGCTGCCAGTATTGGAAGATAAAGTTGCCGGGTGAGGCTTAGGAATTTCCCTCCTTGGGGGCTGTCTGGAAGGAGGCTGGCGAGTGCCTTACAAGAGCAAGACTCTCACAGTTCAATTCTGACTCTCATCATGCCATGAACAGAAGAGGAGATGCACAGCGCGAGGGATGAGGCCATGTGCTGTTCTCCCCCCCACACACACACACACATACCAGCTTAGTCGCCTCCCCATCATCCTCCCCCCCTCCCCCCCTGGTTCAAGTGTGCTTCTCCGTCAAGGTGTCACTGCTGTGCTAGAATGTTATATGCCCAAAGTTGGAAACAAGATAGAATTCCAGAGGTTGGAGAATGGATAAATAAGTTACTTTTTATGGCTGAAATGGACAAACTAACAAGGAAACGTAAGGAGCTGGAAGCAGAAGAATTCTTTGCAGATTGGAAAGATTTTAAGGACTACTTAGAGAAATACTGGGATGTGAAAGACAATTTGGTTTGCTTTGAAAATTATTGAAATTATAGAAATAGAATAGAATGAGACGACTAAAGGTAGAATTGGAATATAAGTTACCTATAGTTATGTAATAATGGTTTATAAGTATGTGAAAATACAATAAATGAACTGGTGGTTGGAAAGCTGTGGGAAGCCAACAAAAGGGTGGGGAGTTAGAGAGAAAGGGATATAAAAGGAATGTGATAGATGTGAAATGTGTATTATCCTAATAAAAATTTGTTCTTAAAAAAAAAAGTGTCATTGCTATGCTAATCCTGTGTGCTCCTTGGGATCAAGGGAAGAATAAAACTGCCCTTTCCTCCTCTTTCCCTTCTGCCTCCTCCAGAGCCCTCTTTGACTATGACAAGACGAAAGACAGCGGCCTCCCCAGCCAGGGGCTGAACTTCCGGTTTGGTGACATCCTGCACGTCCTCAATGCTTCTGATGATGAGTGGTGGCAGGCACGGCTGGTCATGCCCGGTGGCGAAAGCGACGAGGTTGGCGTGATCCCAAGCAAGCGCAGGTACGGAAGCCTCACCCGCCTCGGCAGGACACCAGGACAGGACGATGCCCCCCTGCTGTGCTGCCTCCCCCCCCCCACACACACACACACTGGAGGTACTGGAAGCTCCCTGCCCCTTGCAACACCCCCTTCTCCCGTTCTGAGGAAGCCACAGGGGGCCCCCTCCCCTGGGGGATCAGGACCAGGGACTTAGGCGGGTTGTGAATGTTACAGATACACAAACAATGGTCGGTTACAAGTGAACCTCTAAATGGTACCCAAAGGCACAAACCTCTGCCCAGTTCGACAATTACAAGTTCCCCTGCTTCAAAAGGCACTTCTTGATACGCTGTAATGAAAATTCTCATATCTCCCAAGAGTCATCAGAGTGACTTTTCATAAAGCAATAAGTGCTTGTGTGCCACTGAACCCTCACAGGTTCTCCATCCCCATCGTATGAACCCTAAGCCCTAAATCTCTTTGGCATAGACGCTTAAATTCCTGGAAGGGCATTGCAGGGGTCCCCGCGGCCTCTCTGCTTCCCCGTGTCAGCCAGTTTCCCCCTTCATGCAGAAACACGCGTTACGAGGCCGGGGCAAAATCCCTCTTCTCTCAGGGTGGCCCAAGAAGAGCTGGCCAGCAGCAGCCGGGACCCCCGTGTGAAGTCACACCTGTTTTCTTCTTGCATTTCCCTGGCAGGGTGGAGAAGAAAGAACGAGCCCGTTTGAAAACCGTGAAATTTAATTCTAAGGCAAGAGGAGACAAAGGGGTGAGTGTGGGTTACTTACTGCCGCCTTAGACTCAGTTACCCCACGACAGATGGATGCCGTGATAAATGATACACCGGCAGGGCCTGAAATGCAAGGGACTTGGGGTCGTCGTGGCCAAACACGTCAAAATGGAGAATGCCGCTTTGGGGGGCATCGGGGGGGGGGTGAAAAGGGCAGGCTAGAAGGTATCAGGAGAGGTTAGGGTTAGACGATAAGGTGGCCGTTATCACAGTGGTTTTTATATAACTTCATGGTGCAGCCGCATTTGGAGCAGTGCCCCCCCCCCATAAAAAGGCTACTATAGAGCTGGAAAAGATGCAGTAAAAGGCAGTCAGGTCCCCGAAAGGTTCCATGTGAAACGCTTGAGGGTGTTTAGTTTAGAAACAAGATCTATCTCTGTGAGGACATAATGGGGGGGGGGGTGTATATAAAGTTATGAACAATGTGCAGAAAAGCAAGAGAGAGAAAATTCGCCCTCTCATAATGCTAGCAGGAGGTAGTGAACCAAACTGAATTAATATGGGCACTTGATTCAGAGCAGACTCCAGAAGGTGTGTCTCTTCGTGCAATGCGGCCACAGTCTGCAGTTATAGCCACTAGCTTAGGTGACTTTAAACAGATTCATGGAGCATAGGGGTTTGAATGGAAGGCATAGTTTGAGGGGGAACAGGGAGGAGTTTGTGGCATGCTAATTTATTCTTGGTTTTAGCTGGGGAGGTTTTTTGACTATTATTGTAAGCTGCCATGAACCACAAGGAAAGGCAGGATATACAGGTTTGTGGGGGGTTGTATTTTTCACGTGTGTGTGCGCACCTGGGAGTCATGGCGACTTCTGGTGACTGACCCCTACTGGGGCCTGGAGGATATTCAGGGAGGTGGCTGAATAAAGCCTGCCCCCGCCTCCTGACTGCTGGTATTCCAAGTGGGTCTCCCGTCCAAGCACTTGCCAGAGTCGGCCCTGCTTACCTTCCGAGAACTGGCGAGAGAGCAGGCTTGCCTGGGCTGTCCAGGTCAGGGCGATAGACATGTTTTAATAAATAAAGGAAGGAAAGCTCAGCAAGGTGGAGGCCCAGCCTCAGGAGGGATGTTGCTTTTTGAACAGGTTTGATTTTGCAGCTTGCCACATCTGAACACACTCTTGTATCCTGAAAACCTGGTGGTGGATGGCGCCCCCCCTCCGGCAACACGTTTTTAATCACAGGCCCCAAAGAGTCTCATGGCTGCATGTTAGCCAGGCTGCCTGGGGAAGTGGAGCCATTCCAAGGGGGAGTGAGGGGGTTGCCAGCGCTTTGTTCCCGGCCACGGGAGGGCTGGCCGCAGAGGAACAGGACTGGACTTAAGTGAAGTTTAGCAGGACGCAAGACCTGAGTGCTGGACTTTTAAGAGGTGTTTGTGGTGGACACCCACTGCTGAAAGGGATACTTTTCTGAGCTTGGAGATTCAGGGAGGAGAGGAGAGGCCGCCACATCAAGTGGAGTGGGTGAAGCCCCGGTGGCCTTTGTGGGCAGTGCCCGCTCTCTCCCAGTGGGCTCGTAGGCTGACAAGATGCCCAGAGCTGTGCCAGCCAAGCAGGGCCCATTGGCTCCCGCTCACTGAAAACTGTTTGGGTCATTTGCACTGTGATAGAGCCCCCATTGTATCTAGGGGAAACACCTCTGAGCAGAAGCCGATCGAGTTGCAGGACAGAGATGTAAAATTTCCGGAAATTTTGAAGCTCGGAAAAAAACCCGGTTTGTTTCCGGTTTTTTTCGGGGGGAAACGGAAATTTTTGGAAAAATTGAAAAAATGCTACATTAGCATTTCTTTTGTCTTTTCTAGATTGAAAGTCATTCTGTTACTTTAGGAACATAAAATATGACTATGGACATTTTTACTTGGCATGAAATTATCACAACTAGCATATTAAAAACATAGTGTATCCAAACAATTATTTCAAACAGAATACCCACCCACATGCAAAAAGACAAAATTAGTGTGTGACTGCAATAAAGAAGGCCAATGCTATGCTGGGGATTATTAGGAAGGGTATTGAAAACAGATCAGCCAATATAATAATGCCCCTATATAGATCAATGGTGAGACCTCATTTGGAATACTGTGTGCAGTTCTGGGCACCACACCTTAAAAAGGATATTATAGCTTTGGAAAAAGTGCAGAAAAGGGCAACTCGAATGATAAAAGGGTTGGAACACTTTCCCTATGAGGAAAGGTTAAAGCGCTTAGGGCTCTTTAGCTTGGAGAAAAGACGACTGAGGGGTGACATGATCGAGGTTTATAAGATTATGCATGGGAAAGAGCAGGTAAAGAAAGAGGTACTTTTCTCCCTTTCTCACAATACAAGAACTCGTGGGCACTCCATGAAACTGCAGAGCGGTCGGGTTAGAACGGATAAAAGGAAGTACTTCTTCACCCAAAGAGTGATTAACACATGGAATTCACTGCCACAGGAAGTGGTGGGTGCTACAAGCATGGACGGCTTCAAAAGGGAATTAGATAAGCATATGGAGCAGAGGTCCATCAGTGGCTATTAGCCACAAGGTATAGCTAGGGGCTCTGGGGCAAGTGATGCTGTCTTCTTGGTGCTTGGGGGGGGGGGTCAACAGTGGGAGGGCTTCTAATGTCCTGGCCCCACTGCTGGATCGCCTGATGGCACTGGTATTTCTGGCCACTGTGTGACACAGAGTGTTGGACTGGATGGGCCTTTGGCCTGATCCAACATTGGCGTCTCTTATGTTCTTATGTTATGCAAAAACAAAACTGAAACTAAAGGAAGAAGTGCATCTTGTTCTTGCATTGGAGGGTTCAGTTTGTAACCTAGGACTTGCTTGTCCTCAGTGCACAGAAATTAGATCAATCTGATACCATATATATATTAGATATGATTTGGGAAATATTTGAACACCTTGTCTTAAAATAAAATGTTCCATAATCAATTTTTTTTCTTTTTTCAATTTTTCCAATTTTTCGGAAAAAACAAAAAAGGCTTCAGGAAAAAAACTGAGAAAAAAAACACGTTTTTTCCCCGAATTTTTCCGGGCCTTCACATCTCTAAGGACACCCTGGCTGTGCTCAGTCTGGAACGGGCACACGGGCGTTGTTCAGATGCCTCCTTCAAAAGGGTGAAATGCTTTGTGCTCCTCGCCCCAGTCATACGAGTGATAGAAACAGGCCCCACAGAGTATAGGCAAGGAAAACTCTTCTTTAAGAGTACCCGTTAGGAAGTAAAATGGGACGTTATGACCAAGTACAGAGCCAGATCCAAGGATTGTCTTCCGACAGAGTGAAGCTTCTCACTTAGTGAAAAGAAGAACTTGGATCCGGTCAGTCGCATCTGATACACTGATCTCATTCAGGGTGTGGTGGGCAGAACTGGGTGCACAGTGCAACTTCGTGAGCCCCCCCCCCCCCAAAAAAGCCACTCTCTAGACCTTCTGGTGGTGAAAATCAGTTTGGTGTACCTAGCAAATGGTCAGGAGCCAAAAAGGTTGTGCGGGGGGTGGGGGGGCGAGGATTCCAAGGGCTGGGTCGTGGCTTAGGGGACCTGCGTTGTTCCTGGTCCTTCCCCACGATTTCGGCGAGAGGAAAAAATTAAGTCCCAGAGGATCCTACAGTAGTGTCCCTGTGTCCTCCTAACCCTGCGTCACACCCACGCATGAGGTCCTGAGTGGAAACGCAACTACGCTTGCCATTGAGACAGAGCTGCCTGTCTGAACATTCGCCCTTTCTTCTCGCTGCACCTTCTGTCTCTTGTCTCTCTTCAAACCTGGCTGGGTGCTCTGTGCATGTCTGCAGTCTTCAGTGGCCATTTTTCTTCCTTACGTGTGGCTGCAGAAGCAAATTAGCTGCGTGATTGCAACCTGAATGGTCAGACTTTAACGTGCAGAAAGCGGAGGCTGTCCCGGCCCTTTGCCCTCTTCTCTCTCTCTCTCTCTCTCTCTCTCTCTCTCTCTCTCTCTCTCTCTCTCTCAGGTGTGCGCCAAAGGCTGCCCGCCCGCCCAACAACGGTGCCCTCTGCCTCTTGCACGCCTCTCCTTCCCTTCTTCCTGCAAGGCTCTGACGACAGACTCTCTGTCAGAAATGCTTTAGTGGGTTTTTGTTGTTTGGGTCTGAGCAAAGTCCGCTTATGCCGTGTCCCGTGTCGAGCACAAGAAGGGACTGCCCCATTGCCTCTACCTGGGTGGGGCAGTTGGCTTTTTTGGCGCTTCCTCTTTCCAACCCTCTCTGACTGAGGAGGAGGTGGAGTGGATAGGAGCCTGTGGTGAGAGCCTGTGGACTTGCCGCCGGAGAGCCCTCCTTCCCTGCTTTGTCAGTGCCTGAAAATCACCAGGCTGGTATTCCCCTCCACTCGGAGCACCGGCAGTCCTGACCGTGCCCTGTTTGGCTTCGCTGCTGTCGGAGCTGCCGCCCGGGCGTTCCACGTGCAGTCGCTGAGCACGTTGCTCTTTCGGACACGAGACAGGAGACCCTGTGCCGAGACGCCCACAGAGCCCCTCCGCTTGGCTTCCGGAGGGGTTAGGGCCAGTCACACATCTTGCCCGTCCCCCGAGGGGCTTGGGGGTGTGGGAGACCGGGCTGCCCGCCTCGCCCGCAGCCTCCTCCTCCTCACGCATACCTTTCCCTCGCTGAGCAAAGGGACGGTGGCGTTTTGCAGGCAGGCGAGGGAGGAGGGTGGCCCTGGAGGTGAGGGGACGTCTCCTCCGCGAGGCCTCTGCGGCAAGAGGACTGTCCCCGGCGGTGCTCCCGAGTAAAGATGCGCGGCAGGAGGCGGACCCACGGGGGGGGGGTCTTTGCCGGCGGGGGCGGTTCTGCGCGCCCCTCCTCACACC